CCTGGTCCAAAGGTAGTAACGTTTCCACCATATCAGAAGAGTACTCTATCCATATTACCCTCAACACCATGGGCTCTTATTAATTTACCTAATGTGTGGTACCTTTTCAGATGCCATCTGAAAATTCAAATTTATTACATCTACTTCTTCCCTTTTATCTACCTCCTCAAAGCATACTAGTAAATCTGTCAGGTATCATTTCCCCTTCATGAAGTGGTGCTGACTCCGCTTGATCATATTGTATATTTCTAAATGCTCTGCTATTAATCCTTTATAATAGACTCCAACATTTTACCAATAGCAAACATTAAGCAAAGTAGCCTATAGCTACCTTTTTTGTCACCTGCCCTTTTTGAAAGAAGTGTTACATTAGCAGTTTTCCAGTTCTGTGGGGCTTTTTCAGAATCTAAGGATTCTTGGAAGATAGCTACCAATGTATCCACTATTGCTGTGATTATTTCCTTCAATCTTCTTGGGTACATCTCATCAAGTCCAGGGACTTATTGATCTTTAGCCCGATTAGGTTCCTCAGCATTTGTAATGATGGCTTATTTATTTTATCTCCTCCTTTTGCCCCTCGATCATTTAATAATTTTTGAATGCTGTTAGTGTCTTCTACTGTGAAGACTGATGCAAAGTATTTATTCAACTCCTCTGAAATTTTCCGGTTCCCCATATTATTTCCCCAACTTCATTCTCTGAGGGAGCCAGTGTTCCCTTTGGCTTTTCCCTTCTTATATATATTTAAAGGAGCCCTTGCTATCTATCTTGATACTTCCAAGTTTACCCTCAAAATTTATCTTCTCACTGTTTATTTCTTTGATTTTTTTAAAAAATCTTCCCCAATACCCTGGCTTACCACTAATATTTGCCTAATCAAATGTTTTTTTCCTTTCAGTTTGATGCTATCCTTGATTTCCCTGGTTGACCATGGCTACTTATCCCATTCTCAGAATCCTCCTTCCTCACTGGGATATATCCTTGCTGTAAGCCATGAACTATTTTCTGAAATGTCTGCCATTGTTCTTTTCGATCATGATGCAGTATCCCTCTATAGCCTTTGTCACAACTGACCACAACATCTCCCATTATCCAGCTCAGTGGAGCTGCCTTTGTTTGGTTCCATTTTTATCTATTGATCATAGCCACATCACCTTAACAATGATTTTCCAGCTTCTCAAAATCACTCTGAATTAGTGCAAGAATTCACTTTATTCCCTCGCATCCTAACCCTGGATGCTAACCCTTAGCAACTCACCCGCAGGCAAGGAGTCAGCAAACCGTTGTCATAATTCACTTTATCCCTTCAATATTTCTGTACTTAGTAGTCTTAGACTCAGAATTTTTCTCCAGCTCAGCATTAGGAATACTAATGTCATCAACATCAGACCAGTCCACATTACTTGCCACTAGCTGTAACCTGTTTGCCAACACTGTCTTGGACTGAATTTCACGACATTATAAGTGCAAAATGAATGTCTTCAACTTTTGCATCCTATTCAACACAAGGCTGTGCTTCCTTCTCCACGACTTCAACAGCATTCAAGCTATGTAAATTCTCTTCTAATTATGCTTGCCTCCATCCCTGCCTAAACCCATCTGTTAATGGAATACAGATACATTCCTCTAAGCTTCAGATCCTGTTACTCCAACACAATCGTAGCTGACCTCCATAAACGTGAAACACATCAAAAACGCTACTGTTTGTATACTACCTGCAATAATTCTCACTCATTTCTGGCTCCTGTTTTCACTGACCTGAGTTGTTTTCTGTTACCCCAAATTTAAATTAAAAATTCACATTATCCCTCTTAAATCTGTTTATGGCCTCAACATAGTAATCACTGTCTTCCAACACACAGCCCCTGCACCTTCCAAACACACATCTTCTAACTTTGGGATTTTAAGTATGCCCTCCTAATTCTTTTGCATTATATAGTGATCTGTGAATTTATGTTCCTGGTTGATTCTTTGCAGACTCTGGTACAAATGCTTCATTTTAAGACTGCATTTATTTTGATACTTATTAAAAAGTGGTTAATTTGTTTGTGTTTATGTAAAAGTACAAATTTTGTATAGATCATGGTGAGTCAGAGGTTTTATGATGAGTAGTGTTATTGAGCAAATGGAAGGTGGGTTTTGAATGTAATAGTCTGGATGAATGTCATGGGAAAGATGGCAGAATCTGCAATAATTTTATTTGTATATCTCTACCTCCTGGGTTTTTATTGCTGTTTCGTACAGAGTCTATTAACAGCGGTCAGGGAGTCTAGGATGAACGTCTAATTGAATGTAAGAAGTTTAGGACAGAGAGCAGAAGGAACATTTTTGTGCAGAGAGTGGTATAATTAATGAGCAAGCTGCAGAGTTAGCAATCAAAAGGGAAGCCAAGTCAACTTGCAAGAGTGAGGTTGGTAGATATATGGAAAAAGGAATAAAAGAATTAGGGACAGACTTTGAGCATGTGATCACAACTGCTCAGATGAAACATAAACTGGGTCCATGTTGAAATTTTGTTTCGGATAATAATAAGTATGTGTGACGAATAGAAAATATACACAAGGTAAAAGATTTTAAACTGATTTCTTGCAGTGAAGTTGCTGATGCTAATTCTTTCTTGTTATCACTTTTTTCATGTTTTTATGCCATTTTCTCTCTTTATTCTCAATCCTTTCCTCTCATATACTCTTTGTCATTGCTCTCTCTTGCGATGTACATGTATAAAATCACACTTTTGCACATCATTTGAGCTGGCATATAGATCACATGCATGATGAGAAAAGGAGATGCTGGGAGTTGAAGGTTATTGAGTATTTGGGGTATGAGTGATGATTGTCACATAAAATAACATTAGAACACATTTAGTACCTGAATCAGGAAATCAATGATATGGATTATGCATTCTGTTCACAACCATCAGCTTCCCAGGACTTTTTAAATTTGCCTACCATACAAGCAAATGTCAGAGGTGGAAGGATTTGAATAAGGGTGGAGATGGCCTGTGAATGCACAGAACGAAGGCAGGAAAGCACAGAAAGACAGCATGGCTATTACAGTGAACAGGAAGGGTAAAATAGTAAGAACTGACCAGGATTTAGTGCTACCATTGGTGAAAGCAAAAATTCATGAAGAACAGGTAACAGGCATTGGACCAGGGAGAGGTTAAATTGAAGCAGAAGTAGAAAATGCTTTAGATATATTGCAAACAGTTTGAGATTGCCTACAGATGGGAAAGACACGACAATTAAAATTTGATTGGGATATAGAATTCTGTTGGGGTCACAGGTTGGTGAAAAGTCTTCCAGAGGCATAAATATAATTAAAAATTCAATTTATTTAAATCTACAGACGTTAGATTTATTTCCCTGGCTAATGCAAACATTCAGTAATGCCATATTTAGTACAAAGATTTCAATAATAGAAATTATATTCTTGATAGGGCACTTGATTCAGACATTTTTAGCTTCATATTTTATGAATGTGTCCACGTCTTTGTGAGAATTGTAATATAATTGATTTGATGGCTATTCAGATGTGTGATGATTTTGTTTTGTCTCGTCTTTTTAAAGTCTGAGATCCAAAGGTGGCTGAAAGGTAGCAGGTTTGCGTAAGACTATTTTAGTTGTATTGCAAAGGTGTTCTGTGGATCTGAGAACTATGGGAAGGAAGTGTTTGGTAGTTTGGATGAGCAGTTCATGGATGTTAAAAAAATTAATTATCATAATACATGTGATTGTTGGAGTCTGTAATGGTCTGTTTGCGCACGGAAATGCACTAAGTTGATTTGCTTTCTGGATGGCGTGTACAAAAAGAGGAACCTGCTGCTCACTTTCTGCATAGTGCTTTCTGCTGTCTGAAACAGGCACTCAAAATACTCAACAAGTGACCATTATAGTGCAAGTAATGGGACAATGTAGCATAATAAAAATAATTTGTTTCACTGTGTCCAGCATCTAGATTTTCAGTCAATTTGAACTAAAACCTGTATTTAAATCCTTGGACCAGTGTTAATTTGTCTCACTTCCAAAATGCAGCAGTCTGCACAGTCTTTAGATGCTGAAACAAGCTTTTTACAGTAGATTTCATTGTTTCCTACCTGCACTTAAAAGACCATAATCTTTTCCATTGAAAGGATTGTTTACCACCAGTTCTACCACTTACCTTCACTACAGCTCCACACTGTGTTATCTCATTACAGGCTTAATTGTTTCATTCCTTTCTTTGTTTTTTTGTTCTCCCCATCAGTCACAGTGTTTAACTCTAAAGACTATGAATTCTGCTGGATGGATCTTGTCCTGCCCTGTACTCTTTACCCATCAACTGTTTCTCCAAGTGACTGTAATTTAAAATACTCTTCATCCTGAATTCCTTGACCTCATCTTGCCATTGTTACTCAAACCTCTGTTATTCCTAACACCTAACAAAATTGTGGAGTTGAGTTCCAGAGTCTGGTGACATTGGAGTCTGTGGCAGTTGGAGCAGAGACCTGATAGTTCTGGGGCAAGCTTCCAGTATATCACAGGACTGGGAAAAGAAACACTGTGGTCTGGCAGTAAAGGGAGTGCTGAACTCAGAACTCATTGCTTTATAACCTGATAGTTGTGCCTGTGAAGTATCTTAGAGCAGTGTATCAAGACAGCGAAATGGATTAACTTGCAATTCTTTTCTTCCACTGGCTGACTTGAAGTAGAATTAATAGGTATTTGAAGAGTCCTCTATTGCTTAATGTGTTTCTTGGAGGATGCATTTATTTTTCCTTTCAACTTATTGACCTGTATTCCAGGTCAGTGGTCTGTACCTTCTACACTGAATGTTCCTCCACTTGCAAATATACGCATTATCTTTCAGATGATTTCTCAAGAATTTAGTAGTGCAGCTGAAATGAGCTAAGACATCTTGAGCTGAAAAATGCTGCTTTCATTTGAATTTATCATTTTAGCTCCTTGTATTTATATCCTGTTTGGTACATGTTAGATAATCCATCCTTTCATCCCCAACAGGGAAGATTTATCAAGAGGAGAAACCGATGACGAAGCAAATAGTGCAGAACTAAATACACACAGGTTTGTTATGCTTGTACGTTTCTGATTTCCAGTTGACTTTTCTCATTGCGATGTATGAATTTGGAAGTTAAATTGTATATTAAAACATAATTTTTTTAAAAGTTCATACATTACTAAAATGAGAGCTTCGAAATTACTGTCTAGATACATTCAGAGCTTCTTGAATTTAGAACAATTTTTAAAAGAGATTGAAATATAAAATGGAGAATTAGCATTTAATGTTTTTCATTATTATAGAACTGGGAAAAATTGAAATGTTACTCAAACCATTATGCTTTTATTTGCAGTTGGCTCTCAATGCTGAAATCCCAATTATCTTGCGATTATAAATGATAAATCATGCTTACCTGCAACAGATACTCCATCATTGCTACTCCTTTTCCTTTTTATGGATGATTGCAGAGCTTCATGTGTATATGTGCATAAGTTATTAAAAGTGGTAGGATGGACAGAGAATGGAGTTAATCAAGCAAACAGTATTCTAGGCTTTATTAATTGTGACATACAATACAAGAGTAGGCCGGTTATGCTGAACCCCTGTAAGACACTAATTAGATCACAACTGGAGCATGGTCTATAGTTCCGGATGCTATACTTCAGGAATGATGTGAACATGTTGAATAGTTTATGGTACCACAGTTGAGAAACCACTGTATGAAGATAGATTTGATAGAGAGAAGAGAGGGCTAAGAGGAAAGATAGTGGCAATGCAGTAGTAATGTCTCTGGGCTAGTAATCCAGAATGTTCCAAAATGGCATGGGTTCAAATCCCATTGCAGCAGGTGGCAAAATGTGAATTGGGCAGCACAGTGGCTCAGTGGTTAGTACTTCTGCCTCACACCTTCAGAGACCCGAGTTCAATTCCAGCCTCGGGTGTTGCACATTCTCCCCTTGTCTGCGTGGATTTCCTCCAGGTGCTCCAGTTTCCTCCCACAGTCCAGAGAAGTGCAGGTTAGGTGGATTGGCCATGTTAAATTGCCCATAGTGTCCGGGGATGTGCAGGCTACATGGGTTAGCCATGGGAAATGCAGAGTTACAGAGATAGGGTAGTAGGAGGATGGGTCAGGGTGGGATGTTCGTCAGAGGGTTGGCATTGACTTGATGGGCCAAATGGCCTGGTCCACACTGTAGGGCTTCTGTGATTTGATTGGAATTTTCAAAATCAGGGACACAGCTCATGTTTGGCAGTATATACACACCACAACATTTATATTATCATTAGCCCCTCTCGTTGTCAAGAATTGGAAGTTTTGAGTTATAAAGAAAGGTTGGGACTTCTTTCACTGGAGTGTAGGAGGTCGAAAGGTAACCTTCTGGAAGTTTATAAAATAATGAAGGGTATAGGTAGAGTTAATAGTAGTTGCCTTTTCCCTCGGATGGGATGTTTCAAGACTTATGGGGCACATTTTTAAGGTGAGAGGAGAGAGATTTAAAAAAGACATGAGGAGCATGGGTGGTTCGCATGTGGAATGAACTTCCTGAGGAAGTGGTGGATGTGGGCACAATTACAACATTAAAAGACATTTGGATAAGTACATGAATAGGAAAGGTTTGGAGGGATATGGGCCAGGAGCAGGCAGGTAGGACCAGTTTAGTTTGGGATTATGTTCAGCATGGACTGGTTGGACCCGAAGGGTCCGTTTCCATGCTGTATGACTCTAAGACTCTATAATTGGCCCATCATTTTGGTTGGAGGCACCTGTAGTCATGCTCTGTCTAGACATAACAGATAGAGGTAAAGGTTCCTGCTCATAAAAATATCAAGAATGAAAGGGCACAGATTTAAAATGATTTGCAAAAGAACCAAATGCAATGTAAGTATGAACATTTTTCAGATAGCAAGTGGTTTGATCTGGGATACACTGCCTGGAAGTGTGGTAGAGACAAATTCAACTGAGATAGTTAAATTATAATTATTTAAATAGAAATAATGTACAGGGTTACGTGAAAGGACAGGAGAATGGCACTAAGTACTGATACTCATTCAGAGAACTGATGTAGACTCAATCTGCCAAATGGTCTCCTTCAGCACGGTAACAATTCTGCGAAATTCTCATAGAATCCCTACAGTGTGGAAAGAGGCCCTTCAGCCCAACAAGTCTACACTGACCCTCAGAGCATCCCACCCAGACCCATCCCCCTATAACCCACCTAAGCTACACATCCCTGAACACTATGGGCAATTTAGCATGACCAATCTGCCTAACCTACACATCTTTGGACTGTGGGAGGAAACCGCAGTACCTGGAGAAACCCACGCAGACACAGGGAGAACATCGAAACTCCGCACAGACAGTCACCCGAGTGTGGAATTGAACCCGGGCCCCTGGCACTGTGAGGCAACAGTGCTTCCCACTGAGCCACCATGATTTTTTAGTTACAGCTACATTCCTGTTTCTCGATAGTTTCCCCTGAATATTGGAATGTATAAATAATGAAGTGAAATATATTTACTTGCAGATCTCGAAGACAGCTTTACAGTTTTGTTGCGCAGAAAGGTTGGAAACCAGTAAAATCTGAAGCAGTCAAAGATTTTGGAGGGAAAAGGAAAAGGTTATCTGTGAAAAGTAGGTACATTAAAATGTAATGATCATTAGTTGGCATTAATCAGTCCAAATTCAAGCCTACAATAATAGTTCACTATATTATCAGTTGCAGCCTTCCAATCTGAATAACAGACAAGGTCGAGATCTGTCATTTGAACAAGACAAAAGCACTCTATGCAGGAAGAAGAAAATTTACAAATTTGCTGCCATTTTGCTGTTAGCTGTGGTCAGCATACTTTCAGTCACCTGTAATTAAGTGGATTTTCAGCTCCATGTATGACAGTATGCATTTTAGATGTAAAAAAAAGCAAAATTGCTAGAGAAACTCAGCAAGTCTGGCAGCATCAGTGGAGAGAAAGCAGAGTTAATGTTTCATGTCCAGTGACCCTTCAGAAATGTTGCCTTGCGTTCTCTCCACAGATGCTGCCAGACCTGCTGAGTTTCTCTAGTAATTTCTATTTTCATTTCAGATTTCCAGCATCTTTAGTTCTTGGTTTTATTTTGTGGTTTTCTTTGCATTTAGGATCTGCCTGCTTGTGGATTAATGACCGAACTGAGAAATCAATATGTTCCCTCTTATGTATGCTCCCTGGAAAAAAAAAATTAGTGAATGGGAATATATTCATTGGAATTCAGAAGATTGAGGGGGGATCTTATAGAAACATATAAAATTATGAAGGGAATAGAGAAGATAGAAGTAGAGAGGATGTTTTCACTGGCAGGTGAAGCTAGGACAAGAGGGCATAGCCTCAAGATTAGAGGGAGCAGATTTAGGACTGAATTGAGAAGGAACTTCTTCACCCAGAGGGTTATTAATCTATGGAATTCCTTGCCCAGTGAAGTAGTTGACGCTACTTCAGTAAACGTTTTTAAAGATAAGGTAGATTTTTTTTGAATAATAAAAGAATTAAGGGATACGGTGAGAACGCGGGTAAGTGGATCTGAGTCCACGAAAAGATCAGCCATGATCTTATTGAATGGCGGAGCAAGCTCGAAGGGCCGGACGGCCTACTCCTGCTCCTAGTTCTTATGTTCTTATCAGCAAACAGAGTTATCTCTGCTTTATTAAAATAAAATGATTGTGCTACAGTTCTTTTTTTCCAACTCTCTTTTTGGAAAATTCTTTGCTGGTATTTTGTCAACTCTCAGCATAACAAGGTTGAAATCATTGTGTGAATTGTTGATCTGGGACCATGGTCCAACATGTTGAAGCATTCCTGAGAATGTTTCAGATCATGACCCTGCATAAAATGCTCTGTAAAGAGAGAAAAAAAGCTTGCATTTGTAAGAAAGCTTCATGATCTCAGGATGCTGAAAATGTCATTAAGGTAAAGGACCAGATAATACTCTTTGGTGTTGATTGAGGAATAACTATTGGCTATGCCATAGTGAGATTTCCCTGCTTTATTTGAGAAGTTCCAAGAGGAACTTTAACACCCACGTGAGAGGCCGATGAAAGCCTAGTGTTTAGTATCTAAATCAAAAGATGGCATCTACAAAATTACAGCATACCCTCAGTACTGTATTCAAGCATTGGTCTAGATTATTTCTCTGAGATTGAGCTTGAACCTGCAGCCTTCTACTTACGGTAAGTGCTGTCACTGAGCCAAGGCTGAAATCGTCCTAGCCCAAATCTTCTGAAAGCAGCATTTGCCAAGTCCCATATTCCCTTCTTACATCACTAATTGCTGTATTCCAGTGAAGAATTTAAATGTTTCAAAGTTTCATTAAACAGGTACAGTGAGAAGATAGAATGGGTGAGGAAGTTGGGTGGCAGCTGGGTAAGAGATTAAGGTGGCAGGTAATTGGATGATGGTAATTGGTTTGAAGGGTATGGTCAAGTGTTACGATTATGGGAAGGGACTTGGCACTTTGAGCAATTACGTCAAGTTGGAGGATAATCTCTCTATGCAGTTAAGTAAGTCAGAACCCTTGGAATTCTATGACTCTAACTCAGAGTTGGAGACTTCTACAGAAGATTTCAGAGGTTTGAACTTGCTGAGATATTCTTTGGCAATTAGTGTATTGGGACTTCTGAGGGATTCCCAGTGCATCTCCCAGGCTACTTTGTTGCACTGGCTATCTTCCAATTCGAAAATCTGGGCTCGTGATTAAGAGCATGTGTTACTTGTGATGTGTTTCAGCAGTCACAATCAAATGACAGCAACAAGGTCCTACAAGTACAGAATCAAGTAATACAGAAGAAGGCTATTAGTGCCATTGTGTCTGTGCTGGCTCTTTGAAAGCAGCACAGTGGCTCAGTGCTTAACACTCACCTCGCAGTGCCAGGGACCCTACTTCGATTCCACCCTTGGACGACTGTGTGGAGTTTACCTGTTCTCCCCCTATCTGGGTGGGTTTCCTTTGGGCGCTCCGGTTTCCTCGCGCAGTCCAAAGATGTGCAGGTTAGATGGATTAGCCATGCTAAAAATTGCCCTGTAGTTTTCAGAGATGTACAGGCAAGGTAGGTTAGCCATGGTTTAAAAAAAAAACCCATACAGGGTTACAGGGATGGGATGGGTCTGGGTGGGATGCTCTTTGGAAGGTGGGTGCAGACTCGATAGACTAAATGGCCTCATTCTTCACTGTTGGGAGTCTATGTTTCTGTGAAAGAGCTATCCAATTTGTCCCATTTCCCCTGCTTTTTATATCACTTCAAATTAAATACGAAGAGTTGTGTTGCCTTACCTTTTCAATTACAAAAATTAATATTGGGAATATCACAGTCATTCTTTTTCCTTGGCACAACTTCAATCCTCACCCTGGGGTGCTGGAAGAGCCTGAAACAACCTGTTGCAGTCTCACTGTCATATTTGACCCCAGAATCAGCTTGTGACCCCACAGAAACACCACTACAGCTGCCTATTTCTTTTACCACATTGTTGCTTGAGTTTGCCTTCCTTGAGGCACATTTAAAGCTAAAATGCTCATCTGTGCCTTTGTTAACTCTTGACTTGACTATTCCAACACAGTCCTTCTTGGCCTCCCACGTTCTATTTTCTGTAAACTTGAAAGCATCCCACAATCCTGTCATACCAATAAATCACACAAAGTCTCACGTACCCTCTGCTTCATTGTCTTTTAGTTAAATGATACCTTGATTTTTAAAATTCTTACCATTGTTTTCAAAACCTTCAATGGCTTTGCCCTCCCTATCTCTATAATCGCTTCCAACCCGGCAATTCTCCAAGAAATATGTTGCTCCAATTCTGGGTCTTTTGTCAATCCAAGTTTTAATTACTTCAGCATTGATGACCATGCTGTCACTTACTTAGAATTCTATTCTTAAAACTCCCTGCCCGCCCTCTCTCAAATTCTAAGTCACTTGTTAAAAGTATCATCTGTCGTAATATCTCATTTTGTAAATCTATACCAGATTTTGCTTTATAATGTTCTGGTGAAACTATTTGGGATGTATATATAGTAAGTCCCTGCTTAACTTGAACTCACTGAACATCGTTTCACTTTAACAGGATGAGTAACATTGTGTCAGTATATCCATTTAATGTTGCCAGTTTTACTTTAACGTCGTTTGTCATAGACATCCTGTTCTGTCACCTGCCTTCTCAAGCAACTGTTCTCCCAGTGCTAACACAGTGTGGAGCTGGAGGAACACAGCAGGCCAGGCAGCATCAGAGGAGCAGGAAAGTTGATGTTTCGGGTCGGGACCTTCTTCAGAAATGGTCCCAACCGGAAACATCAACTTTGCTGCTCCTCTGATGCTGCCTGGCCTGCTGTGTTCCTCTAGTTCCACATGGTGTTCTGTCTGACTCCAGCATTGGCAGTTCTTATTATGTCTGAGTTTTTTCCCAGCACGTCTGCATTACTTACCTGACCTTTCCTCCATAGTTTAGATCTGTTATTCTTCCCTTAGCAGCCAGCATCACTCCTGGTTCTCATTCTGAACTTGTGCTGACGTCATGAGGTTGCTGTTTAGCAGTAGATGTTAGTCTTTGCAGGCAGCCCTGAGACTTCAGCTGCTATCTGCACAGAACAGCTTCTGCCAGTAGATGGAGTCTGGCCACTGTAATATACTGAACAACATAAGTGAGTGTGTACTTTAAATGTGGTACTTATAGTTTATATTTTCTTTTGTATTCAGTCATGTATTTTAGTTTGCAAACTATTTCAGCTAGGAGTATACAGTGCTGCACATGTATGTACAACATTTCACTTCTACATTGGTTTTTCTGGGTGCGAAGAATATAAAGAAATTGAACATTATCTCTGAAATTGGATCCTATGAGAACCAATGATTCACTTACAGGAACATTTTCAATGGCTGATGTAACCATTTTAACTTTAAATGAGAACTTAATGTATTACATTAAAAGCATTATATAAAACAAGTTGTTGTCATAGTCAAAGCCCCTAATCCTTGGAAATTAATTAAGAGAATTTTTCAAGTAGAGTTGCACAATAATAAAGTATAAGATTGTTTGTGTTGAGCTGCGCTTTCATCCCATACTGTAAAAGTTGAATTCACTAACCCAAACTGCAATCAAACTTGTGCCATGAGTATTTTAGTAACTAGGTGTAAGACGCAGCTTTGCACCCATCACTGCCCATGTTGGAAGTTCCTGATTTCTACCATATCACAAAGTATAAGAGAAGCTGTGCATCTCCCAGAAAAATGGGAATGTTGGAGTGCAAGCAACTCTTATCGCTCCAGAGATAGTAGGAACTGCAGATGCTGGAGAATCTGAGATAACAAGGTGTTCTGAAGAAGGGTCTAGGCCCGACACGTCAGCTTTCCTGCTCCTCTGATGCTGCTTGGCCTGCTGTGTTCCAGCTCTACACCTTGTTATCTCTTATCACTCCTTCCTCATATCTCTTTCTCCTGCTTCCCACTCTTGAGATGCCACAACAGTCAAAGATCAAAAAATCACTGTGCCACCTTGTCAGTTTTGAAAAAGAGATCAGATGCTGGAACACTGAAGTAAGGAGAGAAAGTTATTTATTTTAAAAGTTTTTTATATGTAATAGGCCAAACTATAGCATTGTTTAGGTGCTCTTCTTAAAAACAAAGTTCAGTTTAGAAACCTAGGTGCTAATGTAGAAATTGGTGAAACAAGCACTGAGATCATTTGAGAAGAAGATAAAGACTTTTGCAGCTGTAAAGTTATTGTCTGTTCTTTTATTTTACAGAGAAGAAATTCACAAGTCGTGAACATTTGGTGGGAAGTAAAAAGCAAAATACATCATCTAATTCAGAAGTGCCAAGGAAGAAAAGAGTAAGCACTTGATGAAAGGAAAAATCTGTACTAATCATGAACTAAAA